TTCTCCATGTTGGTCAGGCTGGTCTCGAACTCCTGACCTCAGGTGATCTGCCCACCTCGGCCTCCCAAAGTGCTGGGATTACAGGTGTGAGCCACTGCGTCCGGCACACCCGGCCTAATTTTTATATTTTTAGTAGAGATGAGGTTTCGCCATGTTGGCCAGACTGGTCTTCAACTCTTGACCTCAGGTGATTGATCTACCCGCCTCGGCCTCCCAAAGCACTGGGATAACAAGCGTGAGCCACCGTGCCCGGCCTGAAAGTCAGTCCCTTTCTGTAAGCACAAATGAAAGGACACACTCACCCCGTGTTTCTGGATGGCGACGTTGGTGAGATGAACGAACATGTTGTCCAGCTCACTGGTACTCGGGGTGTATTTCACTGTGCAAAACCGGCAAAACCCAAGCTTATACCTAGGTGGGAATGTAGATTAATTCAAACTCTGAGGAGAAACACAAAGAAAAGACACCACTTCATTCTCTAAACAGAGCTACTTTTGTGTGTGTGATTGACACGACTCATACCAGCATCAGGCCTGACTGCCCTTACTTCCCTCAATCCCTGCCCCGTGCCAGGCACCGCACATGCATTGTTTCACCAAACCTCACAATGGTGCTAAGAAGAAAGACGTTTTGGGTGAAAACACAATCAAGAGGGAATCAAAACCTTAGGGACGCTTACATGTAACAGCGTAGCGGACGGTACGTGGACACCAGAACGTACAAGCGCAGGTCGAACTTCCTCCCGCCAATTAGTAACGGGTTGTTGATATAGAGAGAAATCACGTAGGCTTCTTTATTAGATTGAGACACAAACCTAAATATGGCAGAGAAAGTAAAAATTAGATGGTAAAAGATGGAATACCGAAGACACAATCCCTGAAAGGAATAACTCATAAGCTAGACTTCATTAAAATTAAAAAACTAGAGTTTCGGCCGTGAGCGGTGGCTCACGTCTGTAATACTAGCACTTTGGGAGCCCGAGGCAGGTGCATCACTTCAGGTCAGGAGTTCAAGATGAGCCCGGTCAGCATGGTGAAACCCTGTCTCTACTAAAAAGAAAAAAAATTAGCCGGGTATGGTGGTGTGTGCCTGTAATTCCAGATACTCAGGAGGCTAAGGCATTACAATCACTTTAACCCGGCTGGGCGTGGTGGCTCACGCCTGTAATTCCAGCACTTTGGGAGGCCGAGGCGGGCAGATCGTGAGGTCAGGAGATTGAGACCATCCTGGCTAACACGGTGAAACCCCATCTCCACTAAAAACACAAAAAATTAGCCAGGCATGGTGGCGGGCGCCTGTAGTCCCAG